GTTATGGACAGTGATTTTCACTAATGATGATGGCAATTAAATTGAAATCGCACCATCTGAGGTTAGTAATGCAGAATAATGAAAATCGATTGAGTAATTGAATAATAAGTTATTGCGTAACTAGGAGGTTAACATTTTGATCTTGTTCCTGTATGAACATTACTGAAGTGTTTTAATCGTTCGTTATCTGATTTCAATTAGTAATTCATATATACTTTGTGATTAGTTATTTTTTGTACAGAATACTAGTTTTACTTCCCCAATATATCTAATCAATTGGTCAATGATTTTTTTGTCTAAGGATTTTGCAGTTAGAATTTCGATAGTAATTTGCCCACCTTGAACATTTCCAGTAATTTTATTAGTCAGTCATTTTTCATTGACATATTAAAGTACTAGATAAATTTGAGAATATTTTTTTCCGTTTATTGAGTATGCTAATTTCATAGATATATTCAACCTAAAGAGAATTATAATATAAATCAAGTAGGTCAAACTAAGCTTTAATCAATAAGTTAGGGCATAACCCTGCCAGTTTACTGTAGTTAAATATTTAGGGTGATTAATGAACATTACAGTAGTTGTGACATTTCACTACTGAATAGAATAATCTAGTTATTTGACATGTAATCAATTATTATGTACGTGTTTTAGAAAAGTGTTATTGATCTCTGGTTTAGCATCACCTTCAGACAAAAACAAAAGTTATATATAAGAATGGTAGACTATAAGTCACGTTTGAGCATTCACAAATACATTTATCGGCATCGATGACTTAAATAACTTAATGATTCATTCACGTAGTAGACGACATGTTGACGTTTGAACCAATCAGTACTGAATAGGAGTTTTAATACGATCACCATCTGTGAGATGATTGATTAATTATAAGAATAATGATAAGGTCGCTTGATTAACTACTATTACCCAGAAATTTCTATTATTCTATCCCTATACTAATAACAATCACTCATGCACCAGTGATTAACTTTGTGAAGAAGAGTGACTATTGAAATTCATTAATGTCAGTTGCGAGACAATTATTCACTTCAGGCTATGGAAGATGGTAGCACAATATCGTGAATTAATTGAAGTTATATACGTATATATCCGGTTCAATGGTCTATAGATTGAAAGCTCGAGCGGGGTACACAGATCCTAGGTTTGATCCCTGATGAAGAAGTTGTCTGTGAGCACTACTGGAGGGTCTAATAATAGGACCTAAACAGTAGCCTCATACCAAACATAGGTGAAATTTACTGGTCATTTTTTTACCACTAGAGTTCAATATTAGGCCGAAACAGCTGTCTTGTGACTTCTGGTCTTCAATAACTGTTTAGCTAAGATCAGTCCGTGATGTGAACTATGAAAATGCGGTAGATATCACTAGGCATATAATCTTAATTAAATTTTGAGAGCGATTTAAAAATCTATAGAATGGACTAAAAACGTCTGAAGAACCATTGCAAATTAGAAAGTACTAAATGCATGCTTCATTCTAGTTTATCGTTTTTAACCAGTTTACGCCCAAGATTTCACATAAACTTCTAACCTTGTAGTAAATAGCAAGATCATTGATCTGGGAATCTCTAGTTTATATTTTCTATTATTCATTATTCAAAAATTATCTTTTATTTGCTTAAACGATTATTACGTATAGAATTTTTGAAAACATGTAGGTAATATGGTAATATATAAAGTTTCAAATATTAAATTGTTTTATTATTAAGACATCATTTACATACTAAACAATACTATCCAAGTAAATTATCAAAGAAAGAATGAAACCATTTGATTAAACTATTACATAATATTACATTGTAGTATTTTCGTCCTAAGACCCTATTGTTATATGGTACTAGTAGTTGATATATTGGATTCATATGAAATTACTGAACAGAACATTGGCAACAAAGTATGCAAAAGAATATGAATTCATATTTTATTTTAAGGAATTAGAAATTAAGATTTGAAATATTTTTAATTGTTGTACAATTGCGATTCAAGTTTGAAAATAAGAAGAAATAGGATGTAATGGAATACTACACCAAACATTGTAGTCGGTTTGGGTTGATAAGTATTTTTGTCAAGATAATCTAGTCAAAAACAAAATTAGAGAAGAGGAGATCTGAAACATGAATTTACGGTTAATTTGCTGTATAGTAATGATTCTATGAAACTCACTTCCAAACTTACAAACTTTGCTCACACTGTTTATTTATTCAAACACATAAACATTGGTACAAGGAGGCATCAAGTAGATATGCGCCACATAAATCATTCGATTTGCATGAGGGCTGTGATACTGCCCGGGTGCCCAGATCGAAGCAGGTGGTTTTCTTAGGGGGCCACACCCCGGGCCTTTGACCTAAAGGTCTGACCACAAGGCAGTGGAGCATCGTGAGGAGATGCAGTCCCATGGTAGCCGGTGACCAACGATTGGTTCATACGCCATTTGTTCCTGCGGGATGCTGGAGCCCATACACTGTAGTGTATGCCAAATATATCACGGATTTGAATGATCTAAATAAGTGGGTCATTTTTATTTGTTGTTGAAAATGAACTTAAATGAATCTGAGCACAAGACTACCTGTCAACTTACTGTTAAGTGTAAAGAATGACCAGCCTCATTCAAGAGACTCATTCAAAATGCGGAGTTAAGTCAATTGTCACTCCATAGATTAATGACATATCTAGGTTTAAGCACTTAATTATTTATAGCCCTATAGCATGCTAGTTAGTATACCATTGATCTATCATTTGCAATCTGAAATATCATACCAAGCAGATTATTCAAGATGCGTATAAGACTGATTCACAAGGAATAGATCATCTAGGGCATGTTCATAACCTTGATGCATTGAGTATTTCTTCACACTGAGCAGGATGCTTTAACACCTTCACTCACAGTACCAGCCTAACAATCATCCACTTCTGACTTGTTGAACCTCACTGTCGTGAAACTTACTGTTAAACATGGTAACTCTGAAAAGTTTCTTAATATGTTTAAAGCTATCTTCTTCAAACACGGTTTATATAAATGCCCACTTCTCTTTGTAGTTATAAAAAATATCTTACCTAAAGATCAACTTCCTTTACTAATACTAAATATTTTGCACCATTCACGTTAAAAGTATTTCTGAATATTTTTAGAGGCCTGACTCCGCAGTAGGACTAGTGGTAATCTTTAGAAAGACCTTGTACTACATACTTGTGTGTAGAACTGTATCGATCTTCGTGCACGGAAGTCAGAGCAGTCTAAACTGGTTCAGACCAATTTTCATACTATCACGAATTTAGTTTATCTATCACAATGTGGCGTACAACGTTCAATGCAAACAGTTATTTTTTACACATGTAAGACCTATTTTTTCGTGTTGAGAACATTCCATGACCATTTGAATTTCTGACGGTTTGTTGGTATTTAGGGGCAACATTGTTAAATTACGTTTAAGGTTAAATAAATGAAGTTTCAGATAAGCGCAGATCACAAGTTGATAAATATCGCTATTTGTAGATATCGGTTTAAGTGTATTTGGTATTTTTTGCGAGTGACTTTTAGTTCTTACGTTACTTTATGAAACGAAGCATGCTTTACTCTCTTTTTGGTCATCACTACTATCCTGATGTGGTGATATAGATAGTACATTCCAGTGTCATAAGAGACGAAGACGAACTAATCTTTTAAAAATCATAACAGAATTACACTAGGGAATCTGTAGAAAAACTCCAAAAAAAAAAACAGTTGATTTTCATATCAATTAATCTTGCAACAAGTTTGCAGTCAAAAGCATAATAACCCATTAAATGGGGTAATCCTTTCAATACATCACCATTTAGACTTTTCATCAAATTCACCTGAAGTGTGAAACTATTTATTTGGCAACGGGTTGAAGGAATCTAGTATTCCATGCTAGAAGTGAATGCCTAGTTCTGAACGGACTGCACAATACTAGGTTCCCATTTTGGGTTCAGTGATGTCTTCATAACCTGGATACCTACTAGCATTGTACGTCAATAACATCTATCGGTTTCAATAGTCATGAAAATAAATTATGATCCGACTTATCATTCAATGGGGTTTGAAGAGTGCTAGAGATTCAGTACCACACTATTCACAAGACCCATACAATGACACACTTGATTTGGGCCTTGAAAGTTGGATTCGTTATCGTAATTTTTGTTAGCTTGCCACAGGCTGAATCACACTCAACGGGAGGGCCGAGAGAAAATATAGATAAACTATAGGTTGTGAATCAATAGCAGACATTTCTCACCCTTGGACGTTCAGGTCGCAAAACTTTAGTCATTTTCGCAATTATTTGACTATATAACTAATATTATTTTATATTTTCATATATAGTTTGTCAAACTAAATACATTTTTATAATGAACTTTTGTAAATTACAGTAAATAAAGCTAAAATTACTTAAAATATATGAAACTATGATAATAACATTCAAAATGGAACGACACAATCGCTCAAACAAATGTAACGCATACAGCCTTGAAATAATTTGGTGGATCGCAATCATTAAAACGAATATAGATCTAAAGGTTTCTCGCTAAAAACAAATTTATTCGTTTAAATTAAAATTATATATATGTGTTTTTAGTAGTTTAATATTATGACACTTAAAAATTTGTATAATAATATCAATAAAACAAACATTTATGATAAGAACTACTTCACGTGATATCAATCCGCATAATACAGCATGCAATTCAAATGGAGTGTAAAAACTACTTTGTGAAGTGCTTATAGTTCTGAATTGTTATATTGGGTTATACAAACTGTTTATGTGTTAGAGCTAGCCTTTTTGGCGGCTCACAAAGATAATTGCGCGCACTAAAACCGGGTGATTTAATAAATTTCAGCGCGCATTTTAACATTTACCTCAACGTTGTTTTGGAGTTATGTTTCTTTTATTTGCTTCATAGTTCTGTTTAAATGTTTCATGGTGACTCATACAATACTGGAACCATATTAAGAAAATATTATGGAATATAATAATACAAACATGAGTGGTGGCCAACAGATATATGTCTCACAATCTCAAGAGCCACCGAGGGTGTCTGGATGTAATCCTCAACACCTTACAAATACTTTCCCAGGAGCTGATTGCAATTCACCTAACAGGAATTACGGACCTTATTCACAGGCTTATCAAACTCATGAGTACAGTGGACCACATACTTCTCATATTGCTGGACCACAAGGGGTTTATCAACAAACATACCCTGGTGAAGTTCATGGTCAAAGCTTAACACTCAACCAGTTGTTACAACAAAATAGTTCTTCAGGTACATATCAAGTCCGCGCTATGAACAACACACAGCCAGTTTATCGGAGCTATGATCCTTATTCTTATACATATAAGCCCGGTGCACCGTCGTGCGTGTCACAAGATCGATCTCAGGTAGGTTATCTCAATGTTTTAGAATCTACATTCATCCAGTGCGTTCACTACTTCGTAAAACATAGTATCTGAAGGGATTTGTAACGTTCGTTTAACTTTTGTTTGATTGTTTACAAAACACACCTAAGAGGTTTTGGCTAGTTTTCATATATGACTACTTTGTAACCATTGCTTTGTCCATTTTAGAGCGTAAACCCATCTGTTAAATGTAGGATAATGGGTTTTCTAGCGAAACAGGTTTCCCTATATATGGGTAATTTATATACATAATTAGAAGTATGAAGTTCTCTAGTCCTCAATAACAACCCGTATTTTAAGTGTTATAATGGTGTTACGATAATACTATAGGGAAGTTAGTTTGTCTAAAGGATGTAAAAGTGTCTTTCCACTCGTTTATCGAATGTACAATGCAAGTGTGCAGGTTTGTTCATAGAAGCAAAGAAAAAGCAATTATCGAGGTTATGAACTCGTCCAGACTTAAGTTGCCACATCATATGATGTCCTCGTTGAGTAACTGACTATTTCAGCGTGTTATAGTAATCGGATTATTGCTGTCTGAATGATTGTATTAATATACACTTCTTGAGTGTAATCAGTAGTTGTTTTGCTATTTCGGAACGTGTAGTCTTCCGGACAACATGTTCCTTTTTTGTTAAGAAAACAGTGTTTGGTTATAGGAGCTAACTCGATTTAAAGAACTCTAGTGTCAATACTGCATTGAAAACTACAGTTGACAGCAAACCTAAAACTCAACACTTAATGCAGCGACTTCGTGTTAAAATTTATCCATCATGTTTGGAACTATGTTCAGAATAAAGCAAGCAACATATTTCGTACTAAGTACCTTGTTTTATCAGTGTTAGTTTTCCTCATTATCATTGATATCACATTAATATGACTCCTTTAGCATTCGTCTTGTTAATTTCATCTCAAGATGTATGATAATTTGGGCTGCCATATGTAAGTTAGACTAAGTTGATTCTGACTGACTAGTTAACTTCAATTCATTATTATTTAGCTCATCAATAGTACGTATTTCTACTTTCAGTTTAATAAAGTTAGGACTTCTTACGAAAAACACAGGATCGGAGATAGAGGAAATCGAGCTGACTATTCAATAAGTTCTCACTTTTAAGTATGAAATTGATCGGCTGATGTTACCACAAAGCAAGAGTGGATTCGAAGCAATCTAGTATTTAGAACTAGGGACAAAACGTCTGGTTTCCAGTTACATGACTGTACTGCTATACAGCTCATAATTGGTCCGTCGCACAGATTTATTCTCATCTCTCCATAGATCTTGAGTTTCAAGATTGTTTCATACTTTATATTTCACGAATTCATTCTCCGTGAAATATATTCTCTATGTTCAATCTTTTAAGTGTTCCTGCATCTACGAATACTACTACTTCTGCCATTTCATCTCGACGACTGCATCCCTTTGTACTGATGTGATGTGACAACTTGGATCGGTTTATGTTTGTCTCAGGCTTTTACGCTGCTCATGAATGAGTTACTGGGCTCAGCAGGTCAAGGTCATTGAAGGCTTCAGCCTTGTTTGGTCTATAACTAGTTATCACTTTAGCGTGTCTTTTGTCACTGGTCATCTGGTTTTATGGGAATATATATCGTACTGAAGTTTACTGTCCACATTATTTGTACATCAATGCCGGTTAGAAAACTTGTGTTTGACTAAGTCGTCGGCAGTCTTAATTCTGTTTGTTAGCCACACCATAGGAGGTCTTTTTTGAGATCCTAGTGTAGTTCTACAGATAACTTTATTATCTGACATCCAAGACTCTCTCAAACACTTATCTAGAAATTTTGTACGGTCGGTTTTATAGTTTACTGTCTTTGTCGCACTAGTCTGCTTGTTTCTGAATTTCTCGTCTGGGATCCTAGTATTAGTCCTATTAACTTTTATCTTGTGTACTCACTTTAGGTTGTACCATAAGAAACCATCTTTTCATTTCATCTGTTTTTGCTCCGTAGTTAAGTTTTGATATCAACTTCTGTTGTTTTCATTCAATAGGTATTTCAAGGTTACCTTGAGTATTTAGGATAAATAAGGAGGTTTCCCATCTCCAGATTTACAAAGCTGAAACCTTGTTTTTGGTTACCACTAATTTTCGGAATCATTATTTCTCATGGGCCTTCTTGCATCTTCTGTTTGGTGGTCCTCCGGTTCCCAAGATGATATATTTTGACTGGCTGCCGATTATCCGGATGCAAATGTAACTGATACTTCTAGAGTATCTGTTTATATTACAATCTTGGAAACAAAGTGTATTTCAGTAGCGAACTGTATTTATTGTCTTTGTACTATCGATGTTAGGTAATAAGTTCTACCTAGTTTTCACAGCAATGCATGATACTGCATAAAAGTAGTTATGTAGCTCAGCAATCAAATACATAAGTTCATGTACTCTGTATTTCAGTCAGTCAGTAACAACGTAGAACTTCGTACGTACGTACATCAGTCCGAGTTGCCATACCACATTAGCACAGAGATGCAGTTGTCGATTCAAATCCCGTAGTGGTAGAGGCAGTCAGTCAGTCAGTCAGCTACAACGTAGGACCAGGCACATGTATGCATCGGCCCAGGTTGCCATACCTCATTAGCACAGCAAGATGAACACTGGATTCATAGGAGTGGTTAGGTCAAAGGTGGTAGTGGTAGAGGCGGTAAGAGTATAAGCAGTAATCAGAAAGATTAGGGTTTGAAGATGTTATTTAAAGAGTATAATCCATTGAAATAAATTTCGAAAGAGAAAAAAAGAGACAAGGAGGATTCAGGAGATTAGAATTTGGGAGAACACAAAGAATGGATGCACCTGCGCCATTGCAAACGATTTTGAGCCATGTCATTCAGGGTCTCTAACCATCGGTTGCTGTCATCTCGCGGTCCCCAACCAGGTAGTCTACACCTACCAGCATGGCTCAGTCCACTTGTCAGTGACTTCATGGACTTGTGCCATGTTTTGGTCTGGCCGCCCCTAGCCTCCTTCCAAACTACTCCTATACCAATGAACATCGCATGTCGAGGCAGTCGGTGGTTGGGTATACGTAACACATGTCCCAGCCATCACAACTGATGAATTTTCACGTCTTCAATTTATTTGCCATCCTTACCTAGTACCCGTTTCCTAACAACTGTGTTACTTACTCGATGGTCCCAGGATATACGAGCAATGTTTCAAAGACACCTACGATCGAATACTAGTAACCTACGGATATCCTCTACTCTTACCGGCCATGTTTCACTGCCATAAAATAGGACGGAACGAACTGCTGCGCAGTAAACACGTCCTTTGGTTGATACACGGATATCTCGCCTACGCCATAAATGACGCAAGTTGGTAAAAGCTAGTCGAGCCTTCTGTATCCGTGCTGAGATTTCGTCACACACCAGACCATAAGGGCTAATGAGACTTCCAAGTTAAGTAAAGCGGTCGACACACTCAACTACTCTGTATTTATGTAAGGACCAATGAGTTTCAAGTGAAGTAGAAACAAATGCATGGGTAAAATGTATGTGATTTCAATAAAAATAAAGTAGGTGAATATCTAATCAAAATAGAAGCAGAACAATTAAGGTTTAATAAGCGTTATTTAATCCATTCAGCAGTGAAGTTTGCGACTACAGCCTGTCATATCTTTGTTCTACCTCTCAACAATTCAGGTAGATAATAAGTTCAGTGGTTTGCATAAATCACTTGTGTAAAACTTTAGTGCTTGTCTGAATGACTCGGTCAGTCAGTTCTTGAGTGCTGTTAGAGGTATGAGGTCGGTTATCCCTTCCCGGTTGCCCACATCATGGAAGGGTTCTTCCGGAGGTACCTGAAAAGAAAATTGGATTACAGGTGGTCTTAGTGACACGAGAGCGTGACCGCAGTGCCCAAGGGAGAACTGCTTGAGGTCGGTCACTTATTACCTTTTTGTGAGTAATTTTCATGTTAGCTCCGTATTTGTTGAAACCTTACCGCCGGAGACGGATACCCGTGGTATAAGGCGAGATATGTATCGTCAGGATCGACCTTTCCTAACCCCACGCCTCCTTGTGGGAAAGCAGCATCGCTGTTATGTTGGTCGTTTGAAGGAAACACCTTACTGCCGTCACACCTCTGTACAGTCAGTAGTACGACTTCACCTTCGGAGTTTGGGTTTACTACTTTTAGTTTTATCGTTCTTCAACCGACCTGTCTGTCATGATAGGATCCAACCAGTATAGCTCGATTGGTTCATCACGATAGGAAAACCTGACCACCGCGTCAAGGTAGCAACAACGGTCGTGGAATGACTCAAGACCAGGTACTCATATTAAAACTACTGAACGTTTGTCAAATCTCTATCCCTTGTTTGATTTCACCTAGCAGTTTTCAACTCGCGCCAAATCATACCGGAAGTTCGCAAACACTATTCAGCGATTGCCATCTGTCTACTTTGAAAGAGTAATAAAATATATGATTAGATCAATCTAAGTGTTAAAGAGCAGGAAGTATAGCTGTTTTACTGGTGATGTAATTGTACAATGTTTATATATTCGACGTGTTCTAGAATAAACACAATTCAGATACTGGGTTATAGTTTCCGTAAAATGTAACATGTTTTCGTTCCTCGGTCTATAATATGAAGTATCATTGCCGTGTCATATCTTTTAGCTTGGAAACCACATTTCTTGTTTCATAAGGTCTAACTAGTAGTTGTTCGTTAATTTTAAAACTAATTTTATTCACTGTATCATAAAAAAAACTAAGGATAAATTTTGGTGCAAATTGACGATACTCTTCACCTGCTTGGTTATCACTAACTGGGTAATATCTTTAGTCACCACAACAAACGTAATAGTGAATGTACTACCAAAGTCTAAGGGTAATTACTGGTTTAATTAATTAATTTAAATGTAATCACTTCAGAGAGCTACGGAATTATATCGGTCATTATTTAACTGGGAATTTATTTGTTTTCTAAAATGGGCCATGTAGAAGCAATTAATAGAG